TTCCAGCAATACTTTTTGATACCCTGTATTATTTTCTAACTACATGCTCATTCCCTAAATTTTGAGGATATTCACAGTGTAATGCTAAGTGAACTAAAATGGCTTTCTAGTTAAAAAAATAATTCAAGATAAGCACTTTGCCCGTTCCAAGAAGAGGGATCGCAGATGGCATGTGAACCTACCACTGCAACGGAGTGCTGGGAGTCCTACCCAGACTCACAGCTCCACTGCATCTGTTAAGACCACAACGTTTCATTAACCCTCGAGTAGCATGGGATGCGTTTTTGGCCAACCTTGTCCTTATCTCTATAGACAGTATTTTTCTCTTGTACTTGGAGACTGTTTCCCACAAACCAAAGTCCTTTCTATTTAAAGGAAAACCGCAATGTGGCAGGTATGCATTGCACCTAATTCCAAAAGGACAGCTCAAAAGTTTTAACGTCTTAAATGTAATTTAGTATCAAGCAGATGATACAGGCTATGAAACAAAAATAAAGGTCACGGTTCCTCGGGATGGTTTTGCACTCCCACATTTTGCATCGCAGGTAAAATAGGGCCTTGGTGTAATCATCACGAAATCATCAAGCTCTTTCGTGCACTGCAAGGGGACCCTTTCACTGCAAGCATCTCACAGTTATGACCGAGAGCTCAAATACGGGAGAGCCCAGTGACACAGAAAAAGTACCCTAGAGTGGTGCCAGGCCTCCGCAATGGAAGTCAGGAATCCAAGCATATCTGAAAATGCCATGTGGTGCCTTCCTGTGTCACAAGGTACTTCTATGACTTACAAAAGAATATAACCTGGGGGATTTACTCTGTGTGTTTTTGAGTTTTTTAGGGGTGGGAAGGATCCTGTCCCAAAACTCAACTAAATAGTCTTCTTCAACAGGCTTTAAATCAGGCTTTAATTGCCCAGCAAAGTGTAAAATAGTAAATAAAAAGGCACAAAACCATGAAAGCTAGAAGTCTGACTAACTACTAAATCGGTAAAAATAATTTTAGAATTTCTATTAAAAGTTTACTGCACAATAATTACAGGACTATGGCTTTCCCAGACTTTCTAATAATAAACATTAACTTCCTTTGTGCAACCTGCTTCCTAGCAATATGTGGGAAAAATGTCAGTTCTCATGCTGACAGAATCATTCACCGTAATCAAGTCAGTTAAAACAGTTATTTGTAAAATCTGCTGCAAATATTTTAAATAATTCATCTAGCAAACATTAGTTCAGCAACTTAAGACTAATTATTGCAGTTTTCCTTTAAATGTTCTTGCCCTATATAAGCTGACATTTATCTCCAAAAAAATAATCTTCTAGCACAAGAGGCAAAAAGGCATGCAACCCAGTAAAAATTGGCAAGCCAAAAAGTTTATTTTGATGTGATTTTATTTTGATTGCCATATGTTGACGGTTCTATGGTATAATATGCTGCAAGAATAATTCACACAAAATCCTGTCCACGGCACCTGGGCTAATAAAATAACAAAGACTCAGCAGACAAAAAACTTGAAGAATTCATCTTTCTTTTGCTAATAAAATCATGAGAAGGCCCCTATAATTTGCTGTCTCTAACCTTAACACAAATGTGTCAGAAAATTAAAAGTATAGAAATTATAGATCCTTATGACATAGGAAAATGGTAACAGTTTTGTCTAAAATGTTGAAAATTTAGGTGTGGATATAGCTTGGGCACCTGTGTAAACAAATTCATATTTATGTCCTAAAATAGGTGACCAGCTGCGATCTGCAAGAATTTACAATAAGGCTAAGTAGGTTTGTCATGCACTGAAACGTAGAGCTGAAAGCACAGCAGAAGTGCAATAATGAACAGGGCCTTACTGTAACACAGGCAAGAGGTATGCCATGTTATTTCTAACACAGCTGCCAAGCTGTGGTCTTAATACATTAAAGCAAAGCTGGCCACTTATCTTAAGAATGTATTAATTAGATTATCACCATCTAATGGGATTTGACAGCACTGATAGGAGTTCATATAGGCTTACAAAGGAAAAGATCTGAAAATTCCAGAATTCAAAGATAGTCCTTCCTCCAATTTACCATTTATATGCTTTGTTGGTGTGCTAAAGTGCACTAAAACCTCAGAACATATTTTAAAATTTGCCCATGTCTTGTTAATATACTGCAGTCTTCAAATTTACACAGAGCTGCAGTTCTCCTGGTTTTTCTCAAGTGTCACTCATCTAATTTAGCATGACAGCTGAGAAACGATGTCAGATGCGTTACAGTTCAGTTTAAAAAACATCCTCTACCTGGTATCTCTGCAGTGATTGTCTTGCTGCTCCCTGAAACCTCTTCATCATCATCTGATGAGCTCGTGCTTGAGTCACACGTCAGGTCACTATCACTGGTACTGCTGTCCTGCAGCAGGTTGTACTTCTTGCGAGCAGCTGCCTCCCGTTTCTGTCTTAACAGCCGGATTCTTTCTTTGTGCTTTTGGCTTCGATGACCTTTTACCTTGGTAACTCGACCATTCTGCTTATCACTAGACTGTCGGTTTTTCTTGGCAGCCATTGTTGAAGTTTCACTTTCGGACCTGGATCGTCTGGATTTCCTCCCAACTGCAGCCCCAGGCACTGCAGAAGGGTCTCCCTCTACAGTAGCTTCAGCTTGACAGGGCTCATTCTCTTCTGTGGAAGACAATGTATCTGAGTCAGCCAAATGCCCACTGGAAGAAGGGGAAAGCATGCAATGATTAGAAGAGTCACTCTCGTAAACTCGACTACCCATTGGCTTATCGCTCTCTGTAGATGCTAGCTGAGACTCCGAGGAGTCTCGCCTCAGTTCCATCAGTAAGCAAGGCATTGAAGAGAGCACTGCAGAGTCTGCTGCAGTGGGCACGTTGTCTTTCTGAGTTTGTGTCTCCAGTTCTATAGGTCCGTCTTCATCAGGAGCAGTCTCTTGCTTTTCAGAAGTCTTTGGTGGAACTTCTGAATCAACAAGTTCCTCTGCTTTTCCCACTGCCTCCATCTTCATTTCAGAACACCAAGGTCCTCCTGGTCTCAAAGCATGGAGCACGTGGTCTGGAAGACTGGGTGAACTGGATATAGATGTCAGCAATACAGCAGCCTGCACAAGAACAGAACAGTAAGAATAATTTACCCAAATAACTCACTCAATCCTGCTCTTCACAGTATTACCTAAATAACTCGTTGCTTTCAATTACAGACATTATGGTTCAGTATCATATTGGTGTTCTTCATTTACTCTTTCCTAGTGAACTCATCCTGTGACACCAAACTATTCTTCCTTTTACACAGTCAAGAAAGATGATACTCGAATCACATTAAATGCGGTTCACCTCACTAGTATAATCAAAACAGATCAGAAAATAACAAAAATATTTCTAAACTCCTACTTTATCAAATTTAAATCAATATATTATAAGCAACATATGCTAAAGTTCTTTAAGTTCTTTGAAGTTCTTTACCTAGAACTTCAAACGTATTTTAATGGAGAATTTTAGCTCTTATGAACAATGCCAGCCTGAAAATTCCCAGGTTTAGTAGGCATGTATGTGGACAGACCAGAATATAGCTGTCCTGGTTTCAGCTGGGATGGAGTTAATTTTCTTCTTAGTAGCTGACATAGTGCTGTGTTTTGGATTTAGGATGAGAATAATGTTGATAACACACTGATGTTTTAATTGTTGCTAAGCAGTTCTTACACTAGTCAAGGACTTTTCCGCTTCTCATGCCCTGCCAGCGAGAAGCTGGGAGGGGGCACAGCCAGGACAGCTGGCCCAAACTGGCCAAAGGGACATCCCACACCATATGATGTCATGCTCAGCATATAGAGCTGGGGGAAGAAGAAGGAAGGGGTGGACCTTCAGAGTGATGGCGTTTGTCTTCCCAAGTAACCGTTACCCATGATGGAGCCCTGCTTTCCTGGAGATGGCTGTGTGGTGCTCAGTTCTCAGCCGGGGTTAAACCACGACAATAGTTCAGTTTCCGTATCTATGAGAAATCTACTTTCAGTTGAACAGCACCTCAACCTTATAAAATTACAATGGTTTTATGGTAACTTGCAAACTTACAGTACCAACATAGGAGAAAACCAGTCAACTTTGAACAGAAACCAAGCAGCTGTTGAACATTACAAAGCAAGACTACACACACTTTCCTTTTCCAGTGGAACTGCTCTGCCAGCAGATCTCACGTACCAAAGATGTATTTACAAGAAGTGCCATGAAATGATACTAAATTGTCAGGGACACAGGGTTTAAGACATCTACAGGCAAGGTCTTCAGAAGCATTAGCTATGTGTTACACAGATTTGTTCTCAGCAGAGAACCACCATGCTGGTGAGCCATGTAAAGATGTTCTAGGAGTATCTAACACACCATTCAAGTGCTCCTTGAGTGTCTCCCATACAAGTCCTGGTTGTATGAAAACTTACAGGCTGATCTAGTTTCTCTCAAATCTGCCAGGAAAACAGCATCAAATAGTATGGGCTGCAAGCAAGAAACAGTATCCACCCACACCAGTATCCTACATTTTACTTTAAGTTATAATTTAATAAATTGCATTGCTTCAGTGTAAATACAAAACCCAAGCTATTTATCTGATTGATAACTTGCACGTTATCAACCCAAAAGCACCTGAAGCACCTTCAGGGAAATTTTATTTGAGAGATCAATATTTATCATCTTATATTCATTATTCACACTTTCCCTTCCGCCTAAATTCTCACTTGGAATTCAACATAGAATAAAGATCTTTCAATTACCACATTTGCTTACAGATGAATGGTATGGAACAAATCATTTATGGGTTTACGAGTATAGTAAATGATAAATTTATGGCACTTCAAAAAAGCGTAGAAAAGAAAAAGCAGTAGTAAGATTTAATCTACTGCTTTTAAAAAATGCATTTCTGAAGACAAGGGCAATTAGTACTTGAGCAGCCTGAGAAAGCATGGATGGTTCAGAGAGATTTTTTCTGTAGCCTCGCAATCCTCCTTCAGTTTCCTGATCCATCCCAAGCTGCCTGTAATTGCATGTATGTAACTGTATGCTGCTTCCCCTCCTCCATCTGCAGCACAGAATAAGGCTACTTCCCTGCTTCTAAAAGGTGCTGTGAAAAGCTCAGTGTTGTCCTGTCTGCCCTAACCCACTTTCAAACTTCATTTTTAAAGAATACTAAAATAGAGTTCATGCTTCCTTCAGGCTAATGAAGGAAATGCTGGATGGTGCAAGAGAATTATCAAAATATTTATGGGAGAGAAACATCAGTTAAGGAAAGAAAGCTTAGTTAATATCAGACAACACAAGAAAGAGATGACAACTCTAGGTCTGCTAAATATGAAAAAAAAAAAAAACAACAACCCAAACCAAAAACCACCCCAAACCAAAACCCCAAACAAACAGTAAACCCAGCATTTTACTTCCAAAAAAAAAGAATAAAATACATACTGTAAAATACAGGAACATATATATAAGACAAATGCTTGCCAATACTTGCTCTGACTAAAATTCTCATGAAAGCAAATTAAAAGAAGAATTTCTGGAGATGGTAATTTAAGGTAGACAATAAATATCATCTAAGAACGAATTTATTTCCAAGGGCACAGCACAGCATCAACAAACTCAAATGATGAATACATGTTCTGAGATAAAAATGCATCCACATACTGTAATAAAATCAGTATTGTGATATATTTCTACATATTTCATCCGCAAATCTACATTATCAAATAATTCTCCTATTACACAGAGAAGTAAAACACAGGTTTGATGACTGAATGATTGGCCAAGAGTTATACACAGTGGGATATGTATTGTACCTGCTAGTGCAACGCCCAGCTTTGCTCTGGTCATGCACTTTGAAATGAAAAATATCTTTTCTAAGAGTTCTGAAATGTACATGCAAGGAAAAATTTGGTTGCCCAAACACATATAAAAAGAATATCAGGCTGGCCAAAAGAAATGTATTTAAATATTCATACTAATAACTGCAGAACAGCTTCTGCACTATTCCTCCTTTTAGCCTGCAGAGCACAAAGGACAGAGCTTGACACAAAGCTAAAGGGCACCCAAAGTGAACTAGAGACTCTTTTTTTCACAAACGTCCTAGTTGGGAACATCGTCTACCTCACAGCTCCCAAAGGGACTGTAACACCACCTGTACTTGCCTTTCCATCTCTCTGGCCTATCAGCCAGCAAAAAATAATGTTTCATGTACATGGTACCACCTTGCTAGAAGTCTGTTCAATGACTTAAGAAGATTTTTTATTATTAAGTAGGATCTTACTTTCACTACTCAAACCATGCTGGCTAGATCCCTCACACAGGGATCAGCAAATTATATTTGCAGTGAGAAGGCAGCACAGGGACTAGTAATTTTGCAAAAGTATATATGGTCAACATTGATGTGTGCTTCTGTGTGGAAAAAAATACTTGCTCTGATGAGGTTTGTACTCTCCAGATTCCTCGAACTGGCTACTTAAAAAGTCAACAATTCTAGTATTAGTATGTATAAAAAAAAAAGAACTTGTTATTTATCTCGGTGGAAAAAAAGTCTGTCATGACTCAAACAGACTTTGCTGCAGGGAACAATACAGGCAGTTCAGAGGAAAATATTTATGCCAAGGAAAGCCTTATCTCAAAGAAAGAAAAAAGGTACTGATTTAGTTCTACTTGAGAAATGTATAGATGAGAGAGAGGAAGAGACTATAGTGAAAAACTCCCTTTATTTCCACTTACTTTTCTAGTAACAGTATTAGAAAAGGTAATCTCAAGGTAATGCTACAGAAAGACCAGTTTCTTGCTTAAATGAGAACATAGCACTGAAAAATAAGCTGTGACGCTTACAGACACAGATGGATACTTAATTAGACATTGCTCAGAAATGTCATTTTCCTTTTTCTGATGCACAGATACTGCACTGATGATTTTAAAAGGCAATTCTGTAAAAACTTCTGTGCTAGATTTTTCCAACAGAAGTTATTTTATTTTCCAGCCACACGCAGAACACACCAGTATGCAGATGCCATTATATATCTAACTGTACCTTTCCCTGGGATATATTTTCAAATCATGGACTCATTTATAAAGGCACACAATTTGTACACTACAAAAACTTCTCTTTACTGAAGAAATCCAGACGGATTCTGAAGGTCAGATTAGCACAGACAGCCCAGCCAGTCTAACAGTTTGCTGCCACTAACAGGGATGGGTTTTACCCCGTAGTCTTTTAGCACCTAATCGTGACTGCACAGTCATATTCCCTCCGTTGCACCAGAACTGGCTCATACTTTCTTGGGTAGATTCACGTCACTAAGCCAGCAGAAAACAAAACCAGAAAATAAATGAAATTTTCTGCCAGAGCTGACAGGAAGACAAGGGAAGGGAGGTCAAGCAAAAAAACATCCCTTTAGAAAAAAACAAATCTGATTAAAAACTACCTGCTGTTTGGTCTTATCGCACCTTGAACTCACAGGTTCCAACCAGACACAGAAGAAGGTACCGAGTATTTCTTTCACATCACTGTTTGCTCTCAGAAGAGGTTTTTGAAGATAAAAATGATTAAAAAGCAAAAAAATTAAATTCAAACAGAGGTGCCAGTAGCTTCCTAAAGAACAACTATCATGGCATGTATGCTATTAAGTAATACATACTACTGCACAGAGTTATATGAAAGATGGCATGCATGCCCTTTATCAATGAATAACTGGCCACTCATACATCCTTCGTAATACCTTTGTTTGGTTTGCTCTCACTAAATGTTTTTTATAATTGTATATCCTGCAGTGTCAGAAGGAAATGAGTTTCACTCAAATAAACGATAAGGCCTGAAATACTTAATAAACACCATGATACCCTAACCTTAATTGCACATTATCATTTTAGGTGTTATTCAACCAATTCACGATAAAGAATGCCTAGATTATATGAAGTAAACCAGCTCTTTTTCTCAGTAGCTGTGGATATGACAGATTCTTACTTCAAAAGTACTAAGTTTTTCATAGCAGCTTGCTGTTAGAAGCCACTTTAGCTCATTACTGACCCATTTCCTTATTCAGAGTCCAACTGACCACTACTTCTCCCTGCTTACAACCGTATCACCTTCT